TTCCAAATTGTTTTATTTCATTATATACTATAATACAATTCAAATGAAATTAAAACAATAAAACTTGACAAAAGTTTTAAACTACACATTGTGTGGTACACAACAAATAAAATCAACTTAATATTAATGAATATGATAGAATCGTAACATCTGTATATTAAATCTAGAATCTATAATACTATTAGATTACCAGTAGACTACTATAAGCAAAATAACTGGACAATAAAAATGATATCATTTTTACTTTTAATAAGTTTGACTTATAGTAATGAAAATGAATATGTAAGATTTTTAAAAAATTCCATTTAAAACTAGTTTGTGTAGGATTTTAAAAATAATTTTATCATAGTCTACAGTACATGAGTCATAGATGTACATTTATGAGTTTATAATTAACAATTCAATACTCAATTGTGAATACATTTAACTAATGAAGAGTAAGTTAAATATTATAAAAATAGAGTATTGAGTCAATCATTACTACTGTATAAGTCTTATACTATACTATACTATACTATAAGACATTCGTTGGCTTTGAATTAAGCGCTTATATTACACATGAGTTTAACATATGATTGCATCGAAGGCTATGTTTTCATGTGAAATAACTTCACATTTAGCCATCAATTGTCTCCCATTGGGATCAACTGACTATGAATATGCCGCGAGTGTTGACACGGAAGCGCTCAGCCAATGCCAGAAAAAGAAATGTCGGCAACAGATCCAGTAATAAAAGAGTTGAAGTGAAGAATGAGAGACAAGTATCCATTGAGACATCAGTTGACCACAAGTCAAATGTGAAGACCAGACGAAAGTGTGTTGAAGTGGACAATGGATTGTCACCAAAACGGTTACGGAAACAGAGGTTTGGACACGAGATGTATGGCAAGGATTGCAGTGAATCCAGTGATAAGAATGAGAACATTGAGAATGACTTGGATGCACACGAATCACTGCATTCAGCGAAGAGTTTGCTTGCCATTGGATCCATTGGATGTGATTTGTGTGATAAAAAGTTTGATAACAAACAGAAACTGTGCCGACATTTGAAGAGTGTCCACAAAATGGATAAATTGATTGCCTCAAGACTGCCGTTCCCTGAGTTGGTTGAGTCGGACAGCGGTGCGGACAGTGAGGGTCGCATCCAATGCGGGAAATGCTGTTTCCGGACGGACTCCGAGGCGCTGATGATTCTTCACTCAATCAATCACAACGTGCTTATCATTGACCACATCAACGGTGCCATCAAATCGAGGCTCAAGTGTCCCACTTGTGACCAATGGTTCACTAAATCTCTGCTCCAGAAACACGTTTACATCCATACGTCTGAAAAGCCGTACAAATGTGATGAATGTCTCGAAGAGTTCACCACTTCTTCGCACTTAACAAACCATCAGATGAAACACAATCCGACAATGGATTCGTTGATCACATGCTCGATCTGCGGCACAGCTTTCAAGACGAAGAAGAGTTTCCAAAAGCACCAAATGATTCACAAAACGGATCGCAAAAGAAGTCATTTGTGTGATGTCTGTGGCATTGGTTTCTACGACAAGGAATCACTGAAATCACACACATTTCGCATACATTTACCGAAAAACGTGCGAAAATTTAAGTGCGATTTCAGTGGCTGTCGGTATAGCTGTCTCTATCAGCACCAGATGGTTGAGCACCAGAAGGTCCACAGCGACGACAAGCCATGGGTTTGCGATCAATGCGATTATACGGCTAAATCCAAGTGGACTTTCAAAAAGCATTACCGCAAACACACCAAAGAGAAGCCCTTCCAGTGTCCGCACTGCGAGTACGCCTCATCCCTGTCCTCTAACCTGCGCCGACACGTCCGCATCCACACCGGTTCCAAGCCATTCAAGTGTCCCTATTGTAACTACCGGTGCAATAACCACGAGAATCTTCGCAAACATGTACTCAATACCAGAAAGCATAAGGGCTTATATCTCTACAATTGCATGCATTGCGTGTTCGCCACAAATGTCTTCTCGGATCTCCGCCAACACATGGAACAGATCCACAAAGACATCTATACTATCGAACAAATCGATCGAATGATTTCTTCCATTTACCACAAACAAGAGGACAACACCACTGTTGTTCCCATCACTCACTCCACTGAACCACAAACGGACGCTTCGAGTGAGAAGACCACGAATAGAAAGTCGAAGAAAATGAAAACTGAATCAAAGGATACAATGGATGCCATCGAAAGACATACAAACTGTTCGAGTGAAGTGATTATAGCCAACGATTTCGATGAACTCAAGTTTGAGACACAAAATGATGATTCAGACGTCAATAAGTCTATAGTTATTGGCAAAAGTATGGCACAAAATAATTCAGAGATGATTATCATTGACTCAAATGTATTGGAAGCGCAAGAAGTTTGTGTCACCGATCGACTCGTCCCTCAAAACAATACACACTTTTTGATCACTGTTTGCAAAAAATAATTGACTATATATTGCAAATAATTTACACATTTTTGTCAATCATTTTCTCTAATTCTTATCAATAGTTTATTTTGAAATCTATTTAAACGAATGATTATATGATTTAAAACATTAGAAAATAATTTATAATTAAATTGAATTTTTATATAAACCTATGATTTGAGACCATTTGATAACAATTAAGAGACAAACTCTTCATCCAATTCGATGTCTTCTTCGAGTCTCTCGAGGACTGGCATCGAAGCCAACAGT